TCAGGCTCGTTGAGATGGAACGCGGTGACAAAAAACATTGGAAGCAACCGATAACTTTCCCATTAAAATCGCAATTCAGAGCCACCATAAACAACTTCTTCAATGAATCTAAACATTGTGACTATTGCAATAGAGGTGGACATATAATTGAAAATTGTCGGGCTCTATGGAAATAGAGAAATGCTACATATAAAACACTTGGGTTACAATGCCCACCCCCTTGTGAAAGATTGACATCCATTGTTGTAACCCAAGTGTTGTACAAGGATAATTATTCATGCAAACATTGTTACAGAAAGGGCCACATTGAAGACGTGTAGATTCAAAAATAGCACTTGACTTCCAACAACTCATTCAATGGAATCAACACAATCAATCTCGACAATGACAAACAAGGTTCTCATTCTTTTCATAATGCCAATGCAACGTAGTCTTCACAATCCACACATGGAGTCAATTTATCGATAGAATAACTTGTTGAATAGTACATATGGACTTTCTGCAAATCAATTACAACAATGCTCGTGCATTATCTCTAATGTCATTGAATCATGCCACTAGTAATAACAATGCTCATGCAAATGCATCGGTTATGTTCTCTTCCTCTAATGCTATTAGTTTTGTGTTTCACTAAACAATGGATCTTGGATGGGGAGTAAAAGACCGTATTACAATTTACAACTAATTCCACTATTTTTACCCACATAGAAGCATCACCAATACCATTGTCAATTTACCTAGGGTCGGAGTCAGTCCATCGAAATAGGGGGGTCCCAGAGTTAAAGGGGTGGGGGCCCACGGGTTGCCCTCGAATTTTTTTTTTGAAACGTTATCTATTAAAATGAGGGAAGTTGATACTTTGTGATGGAGAAAAGAAACAAATGAACATAAATTAATGTAAATTATTAACAAAAAAATCAAGAAACGTATAAAAGAAAGTACTGATATTTAATTTAGCAAAATCATATATTATTACAAGCGTTCCTTTCGAGTTTAAGTTTTTGGATTAGTTGGGTTTAAATTTTTTATTCATTTGA